TCTTCATGAGTTTACTACCCGGCTACTTTTCATCTCTTTCCAATGCAGTTTGTAGACTTAAAAAGTCTCTTTATGGCCTACGACAAGCATCTAGACAGTGGAATATCAAATTTACCCAAAGTGTCCTACAATATGGTTTTACTCAATCCCAACATGATCATACTCTGTTCACTCTACAAAATTCTACTACATTCATGGTGTTGCTAGTTTATGTCGATGACATAATTGTTACGAGTCCTGATCTGGTTTGTATTCATGCTCTCGAGGCTTATCTGAATTCAACCTTTAAAATTAAAGATCTTGGCACTATCAGGTATTTTCTAGGCCTGGAAATTGCTCGATCTTCTGCTGGTTATTCTATTTCACAACGAAAATATGCACTTGATATACTACAAGATTTCAGGCTTTACTGGAGCCCGTCCTTCCTGTTTTTCTATGGAACAAAATTTGAAATTGTCTCGTGAGGAGGGACAGTTATTAACCTACCCCTGCAGAGACTGATTAGGAGGTTAATATACCTAACTATCATGAGACCTGATTTGACATTTGCTGTTTAGACACTTAGCTAGTTCATGCAAGCACAAAGGAAGCCTCACTTGGATGCAATACACATAATTTTGAGATACAATAAGCATATACCAGCATAAGGAATTTTTCTGTCAAGCAAATCTGATCTGCAATTGAAGGCTTTTTGCGATGCAGACTGGGCATGGTGTATAGATAGCAGGCGCTCTGTAACTGGGTACTGTGTTTTTCTTGGAAAAGCATTGATTTCGTGGAAATCCAAAAAGCAAACAACAGTATCAAAGTCATCTGTTGAGGCTGAATATAGAACAATGGCTACCACCTGTTGTGAAATAATTTGGCTGTTAGAAATACTTAATAACCTGGTGTGGATCATATGAAGCCTGCATTAATGTATTGTGACAATAAAGCAGCCTTGCATATAGCCTCCAATCCAGTTTTTCATGAGAGAACTAAACACATAGATATAGATTGTCACATTGTGAGAGAGAAACTATAGAAGGGCCTGATTAAAACAGTTTATGTTTCTTCTAAACACCAACTGGCAGATATTCTGACTAAAGCTTTGGAAGCATATGAGTTTTCTTTCTTACTTAGCAAGATGAGAATCATAGATTTGCACAAGTCCATCTTGAAGGGGAATGTTACAACTCAACAACCTGTTAAAGCTGGAACAGAAATCGAAATTGCAGGAAGTTGAAGTTGGTTAGAAAAGATGAGCTAGAATATAGTTACAACAGTTAGAATAAAGTTAGTTAGTTGAGTTACAGCTGGCAGCCTGATAGCTGGTTCTATAAATAGAATCAATGTACAAACGTGAATTGAATTCAATAGATCCTACTTCTTATAAAAGAGGCAATATGTCAATTACTGTTCATTCAAGATGTATTTTGAGTTTTCTTATTTCACCCTTAAATATCCCATTTCACTTCTGAAACGTGGTCTAATGGTCTTCTTTGTTTTTGCTTTTTTCCCAAACTTTAAGCCCATTTTGGACTGTTGTAGATCTGTCGGTCGGAATTATTGACTTCCCTATCTCACAAAGGGGAACACTAATGGTATTATTGACTTTCCTCTCACAAAGGGACTCACTAATGGTGAGAAAATCCATTTCTTTTGGTAAANTATTTCAGAAGAGTGATTTTTATTTTTTTTAAGAGTGTGGTTAAAGATAAGAAAAAAATTAGATTCGTGTAAAATTATTTTATGAGAGAATGTGTGATTGAAAATGAGTTTTAAAAGCAATCATATTATAATAGTATAGGAAATTTTTGATAAGTAATACATGGCGTGGAATGATTGGAAGATAGAGAGAGAGAGAAGGCCAATGATGCATCGCTATATCAATGTTGATATGAATTATGTCAACATTTTTCTATATTCGTGACTTTTTCCTTTGAAAAAATGGAGATCAAACATGGGAGTACCAATAAGAAACAAATCCACCTTAGCTCCTGTTTTTGCTCCTTCATTGAAAAACTATTTTTTTTTTTTTACCAGATATACTTTTCAATAGAAAAATATTACATGTAACTTCAAAACATTTTCTTATTTTTTAACGACACATTCTTCAACAAATCATTGTTGCAAGAGAAATTTTCTCACAAAATCACATTAAGCACCTGTTCGACCGAGGGGCGGGGAGAATGTATTTCAGAAGAGTGATTTTTATTTTTTATTTTTAGAATGTGGTTAAAGATAAGAAAAAAATTTGGATTCATGTAAAATTATTTTATGAGAGAATGTGTAATTGAAGATGAATTTTGAAAACAATCATGTTATAATAGTATAGGAAATTTTTGATAAGCAACACATGACGTGGAATTATTGGAAGATAGAGAGGGAGAGAGAGAGAAGGCCAATCATGCACTGCTGTATCAATGTCGATATTAATTCTGTCAACATTTTTCTGTATTCGTGAATTTTTCCTTTGAAAAAATGGAGATCAAACATGGGAGTACCAATAAGTGACAAATCCACTTTAGCTCCTGTTTTTGCTCCTTCATCCAAAAACTATTTTTTTTTTTACCAGATATACTTTTCAATTGAAAAATGTTACACGTAACTCCAAAAATTTTTCTTATTTTTTAACTACACATTCTTCAACAAATCATCGTTCCAAGAGAAATTTTCTCCCAAAATCACATTAAGCACCCGTTTGTGTGTGTGTGGGGAGGGGTGGCGGGGAATGTATTTCAGAAGAGTGATTTTATTTTTATTTTTTTTAGAATGTGGTTAAAGATAAGAAAAAAAAATTATATTCGTGTAAAATTATTTTATGAGAGAATGTGTGATTGAAAATGAGTTTTAAAAGCAATCATTATAATAGTATAGGAAATTTTTGATAAGCAATACATGGCGTGAAATGATTGGAAGATAGAGAGAGAGAGAGAAGGCCAATGATGCACCGCTATATCAATGTCGATATGAATTCTGTCAACATTTTTCTGTACTCGTGACTTTTTCCTTTGAAAAAATGGAGATCAAACATGGGAGTACCGATAAGAAACAAATCCACTTTAGCTCATGTTTTTGCTCCTTTATCCAAAAACTAAATTTTTTTTTTTTTACCAGATATACTTTTCAGTAGAAAAATATTACACGTAACTTCAAAAATTTTTCTTATTTTTTAACGACACATTCTTCAACAAATCATTGTTGCAAGGGAAATTTTCTCCCAAAATCACATTAAGCACCTGTTGGGCGAGGGGGCGGGGGAATGTATTTCAGAAGAGTGATTTTTTTTATTTTTAGAATGTGGTTAAAGATAAGAAAAAAATTTAGATTCATGTAAAATTATTTTATGAGAGAATGTGTAATTGAAAATAAATTTTGAAAACAATCATGTTATAATAGTATAGGAAATTTTTTATAAGCAACACATGACGTGGAATTATTGGAAGATAGAGAGAGAGAAGGCCAATCATGCACCGCTATATCAACGTTGATATGAATTCTGTCAACATTTTTCTATATTCGTGACTTTTTCCTTTGAAAAAATGGAGATCAAACATGGGAGTACCAATAAGTGACAAATCCACTTTAGCTCATGTTTTTGCTCCTTTTTCCAAAAACTAATTTTTTTTTTTTTTTTACCAAATATGCTTTTCAATAGAAAAATGTTACACGTAATTCCAAAACTTTTTTTTATTTTTTAACTACACATTCTTCAACAAATCATTGTTCCAAAAGAAATTTTCTCCTAAAATCACATTAAGCACATGTTTGAATCCCATTTTTGTGGCTAACAATTCATTTTGAAATTGTAAATTGATGAAGAATATGTGGTAAAAAATAAGATTTTTTTTTTTTAGTTTGTATGGAATATTATTTTATTAAAGAATATGTGGTTGAAAAGAAATGAGAGAAAAATATATTTTGAAAATAATGGAGATGAAATACTAGCTAAATTGAATCCAAACAAGTGCTTGATATGGAAAAATGGAACCCCTATTTGGTGGCATTAAAATCAAATTTTTAGTAAATTTTGATGAAAATTGATAAAATATATGGTTGAAAAATTGTTGGACCCATAAAATGTATGATTGAAATAAATTGTTAACTTTGATTTAAATTAAAATTAAAATTAAAATTTTAATAAGTACCAAATAAAGTAATTCGGAGTATTTCTACCCTTAAGTAGTGCTTCCATGAGCAGTATACGTGGCAATGGATAACGATCACAAATTCAGGATCTTCGAACTAGGCTGCAAAAATAAATAATTAATTAAATAATTCATTCAGATTAATGCGATGTTAAGTTAAGGATCAGATTCTGAATTTTGTTTAAGGAAATAAATTATTGATAAATGAACACGTGCCAAACTTGAGTGCTTCGAGCCTTCTTTTTTGGTTTTACACAGATACGTTAATGTTTCTTGCTACGGAAGACACACCTGTACATTCTAGGATAGGTGTCAGTACAGATAACAAAATATTCATATATTTCTTGTCACGTCCAGTCCAAATGCCAGTTTCTAACAAATCAATCAACTCCCTTCTCTCCTCACTTTGCCCTTTGCACCCACCAAGAGCCACCTTTAACCCTATTGGCTTATCCCAACCCCTCCTCCCACAAATGCTATTCAATACTTAATAAATATTTATTTTTGTCCATCAGCCAACATGACTGTGATATTAGGATTTATTTGATATAGATTTTTTAAAAATAAATTAGTTTTACCAAATTCAAATAAGATAATGCACATAAATTGCCGCTCATTATTACTCGAGCTGAGCTGCGGGTATAGACCCTCAGTTCACAGACTTTTTATGGAAGTCTCACACCATGTGGGATCGGAATTTTTTTTATCATTTTTTTATTATATTGGGCTTCGAAGTGGGATCGACCTTGTGTGAGAGATCTGATTTAATTCTGTAAAATGAATTTTGTACAATCAGAATTACTCTTATTACTTCTGATGAATAGTATTATTCTGCCCATAAGTTAAATAAAAAATCACTCAAAGGAAATAAAGTAATGCTATTTATTCCACATTGAAAATGATTATCGTGTCATGTTACAAATTATAAGATTAGTAAAGTAAGTCATCAAATTTTTTGACAGGAATGATCTCCAGGCTAGAACTTATCGTTCCATATCAACAAGTCAAATCATCTTCGCTAACGTGACATTTTATCTTGTTCACCATGGAAAAGAGCACAATTTTGTCATAATCGATAGGAATAATTAGCATTATTCTGAAAAATAAGATACATAACAATTTTCAATTAGGTATTCTCAACTTGCTATCAATATTTATTCGATAAATAGTTAGTTTCTTAACCTTTCAATTAATGTGATTTTTTGGGTCATCAATCTTTCAACAAGAGATTCTGGTCCCTAGCCTATTTTAACATAAACATCCTACATACATCAACAATTTTCTTGATTTAAATTCACACATTTAAATAAATTGAAAATTTAAAGTTAAAAGACCTAAAACTACTCTAGTTGAAAGATGGAGAGCTCATTTCTATTTCTTCTTATTTATTTTCCAATCCCACTAGCGAAAATTTTTAATTGGAAATGATTATTTTCAACCACTAAACTTTAACCACAGGACAGGATAAGGCTGCATGTGGAGCCTGGAGGTACAAAGCCATATTTGCGGGGTTAATCTTGGGTAACAACCCCTGGACCAGGTTGTCAAAGGGGCTTTAGCCTTTTTTGCGTGCTCAGTGTGTTATAATTTCGTGGCTCTATCACGTCCGTACGCATCATCAACTATGTACGACAAGAATAATCCAATGGTACCAATGGATATGCCGCTTCACCAAATCACATACTGCTTTCTTTTTTTCATGTTCCAAAGTTTCCTTGTATCAGATAATATATTCAGCTTTTATTTAAATTTTTAGGAATATTCGTTTTTAATTCCTGGGAATTTTATTATTTTATAAGCACCAACTTTATTTTAATAATCAAAGATAATCACTAGTCTCCGTATGGTGAAGTTTCAACTCCATTTTCAGAAAGAAACTCGTATTCTTGTTATAAAAGCAAGCAGTTTCCTTATCTGAAAACTGAAAAAGAGGGAGAAAGGATATGTTCGATTTTATGAGAATGAAGAGAGTCACTGACCCGTTAGATGATAAAGTGAAGGCACGGATCTTCGGCTGCAGCAGCAGTGGGAGCGAACACAGTGCTCAAGCTGACGACGACGTTTCACCTGATCTTTTCTTCGGTTTTAGTATTGATAATACTGTCGGAGATTATTCATCTGTAAAGAAGAGTAACAATGATCTGGATTCTGATGAACGTGATTCATCAACGTATGATTCTGCTAATGGAGATTTGATTGAACGAATTCTCAAAGATCGGACGGATTCGTTTAAGAATATGCTTCTGGCTCATGTTTTAAAAGCTTTGCAAGTGTTTTCGTGTGTGAGATCGAACAAACAGATTTTCCGGCGGAACGTTATGGCGTTTTTGAGGCAGTACGGACACAATGCGGCAATATGCAAGACGAAATGGGAGAGCTCCGGTGGACTAACAGCTGGAAATTACGAGTTCATCGACGTTATTCGACAAGACTCAACTCGGTATTTCATAGATCTAGATTTTGCTTCCGAGTTCAAAATAGCAAGGCCGACGAATTTTTACGAGCATCTACTGCAATTCATACCGACATTTTTCGTCGGTCAGGACGAAGAATTGAAGCAGATTTTGAAGATAATGAGCGACGCCGTAAAAAGATCGTTGAAATGCAGAGAACTCACTCTACCGCCTTGGCGAAAGCACCGTTTTTTGCAGAACAAGTGGTTTGGTCCGTACCGTCGCACGGTGAATCTCTTCCCTTATACGTTGCCGTCTAACCAGAGTTACGGCGTCAAGTGTCAAGCCGTCGGTTTTGACGCCGCCATTAACGGCGGAGGTCTGCTGTTTCCCTCGACAGCCCGTACAAGAGGATGCAATTGAAATAAAATATTTTTCGAATAATTTTTGAATTTTATGTACGATATCATTTTCTTGTGCATGCGGAAACTGCACGTCGTGTATCTGACGGCGCAAGTAGGTAATCGTGCAAGAACCGTTGGATTGATTTTAATCAGACGGGCTCGTTAGTTTCTGGAGAAAAGAGAGGGAACGCCATATTATCCAATACTTATTTTTAAAATTTTTTTTTTTTTTTTTAAAGTAGAATATTTCTATCCATGGCCAAAGGTGCTTGCTCACTCATCTAGCTGAAATTATAAGTTCAGTTGAAGTTGAGGCCATGCTTGATCGACAAATTTTTTCTGGATTCCATTTTCACAATTTCAAGTGTTTGATATGGTTTTTTTTGCCATGGAATTCAAGTTCCATGTTTTCTTGGACTTTGGACCTTTCTAACTTTGTAGGGAAAATCAATTCCCGGTTACTGTAGCATATATGTGTTTTTTAATTTTTTAATTTATTATTATTATTTTGGCAAAATTAACAAATTTTAAGAATTATTGTAAAAAAATATTTTCTTTTAATTGACAATTTTCATATAAAATAAAGTCAAACAAATATAAAAAAATAGATGATTTTTTTGTTTTTTTGTTTTTTTAGCAATGTAAACAAATTTCATCTTCAACACTAGTAAATTATATCCCTTTAATTGACAATTTTCATGTAAAATAAAGTCAAACGAATATAAAAAACACTTTTATTTCAATATTTTTCACGTGAAAATTTATATTAATCAAACACAATAATTTATAATTCCCAAGAAAATAATTTTTAGGTATTTCAATTCCTTGGAATTCGTTTTCAATTCCATCTTTGCAATCAAACGAACCCTAAATACCAATCTCAAAAATAATTATGTTTCTAAATATATTAGTTTGAAATTTTACTATGAAACACTTTGATTGAAACCTTCAAAATATAAACTTTACAATACTTACATATTTATATTTATTCAAGCTAAAACCAATAAATTATTGTAAGGTTCAACCAGAAATTTAAGATTATAGTTCCTTTTTTTTATAAGAAAAATATTATCATCAAAATCATTACTTTCCAAAAGAGCCAATAGAAGTTGACTAGTAAATAAACGTTGAAGTGTAAATTGCTCCAATAAATAATCTGGATCAGGTTGTCAAAGGGGCTTTAGCCTTTTTTGCGTGCTCAATGTGTTATAATTTCGTGGCTCTATCACGTCCGTACGCATCATCAACTATGTACGACAAGAATAATCCAATGGTACCAATGGATATGCCGCTTCACCAAATCACATACTGCTTTCTTTTTTTCATGTTCCAAAGTTTCCTTGTATCAGATAATATATTCAGCTTTTATTTAAATTTTTAGGAATATTCGTTTTTAATTCCTGGGAATTTTATTATTTTATGAGTTGACGCCGCCATTAACGGCGGAGGTCTGCTGTTTCCCTCGACAGCCCGTACAAGAGGATGCAATTGAAATAAAATATTTTTCGAATAATTTTTGAATTTTATGTACGATATCATTTTCTTGTGCATGCGGAAACTGCACGTCGTGTATCTGACGGCGCAAGTAGGTAATCGTGCAAGAACCGTTGGATTGATTTTAATCAGACGGGCTCGTTAGTTTCTGGAGAAAAGAGAGGGAACGCCATATTATCCAATACTTATTTTTAAAATTTTTTTTTTTTTTTTTTTAAAGTAGAATATTTCTATCCATGGCCAAAGGTGCTTGCTCACTCATCTAGCTGAAATTATAAGTTCAGTTGAAGTTGAGGCCATGCTTGATTGACAAATTTTTTCTGGATTCCATTTTCACACTTTCTGTTTGATATGGTTTTTTTTGCTATAGAATTCAAGTTCCATGTTTTCTTGGACTTTGGACCTTTCTAACTTTGTAGGGAAAATCAATTCCCGGTTACTGTAGCATATATGTGTTTTTTAATTTTTTAATTTATTATTATTATTTTGGCAAAATTAACAAATTTTAAGAATTATTGTAAAAAAATATTTTCTTTTAATTGACAATTTTCATATAAAATAAAGTCAAACAAATATAAAAAAATAGATGATTTTTTTGTTTTTTTGTTTTTTTAGCAATGTAAACAAATTTCATCTTCAACACTAGTAAATTATATCCCTTTAATTGACAATTTTCATGTAAAATAAAGTCAAACGAATATAAAAAACACTTTTATTTCAATATTTTTCACGTGAAAATTTATATTAATCAAACACAATAATTTATAATTCCCAAGAAAATAATTTTTAGGTATTTCAATTCCTTGGAATTCGTTTTCAATTCCATCTTTGCAATCAAACGAACCCTAAATACCAATCTCAAAAATAATTATGTTTCTAAATATATTAGTTTGAAATTTTACTATGAAACACTTTGATTGAAACCTTCAAAATATAAACTTTACAATACTTACATATTTATATTTATTCAAGCTAAAACCAATAAATTATTGTATGGTTCAACCAGAAATTTAAGATTATAGTTCCTTTTTTTTATAAGAAAAATATTATCATCAAAATCATTACTTTCCAAAAGAGCCAATAGAAGTTGACTAGTAAATAAACGTTGAAGTGTAAATTGCTCCAATAAATAATATACCTTGGATAAAATACACAGGCGATTTTTAACTATCTAAATGGAATAAAAAATGGTTTGGTTTAAGCCTTGAAACAATTGAAACCTAAATCAAGTAGGCTCAAATCAACTATTTCAAAATTGCAATTTCTATTCAGTTTGGAAATTTGCAATTTTTTTGTTTATCCCTTTTAAGGTCCCGTCTGATTTCCATTTTTCTAAAAAATAGAATGAAAAATATAGTCGTTACGAAACCTACACAAAATATAGAAAGTCTAATATAGTGGCTTGATGTGATGAATAACGATCATATTTTTTTATTTTTGTAATTAAAGAATGAGAATCAAATGGGAGCTAAATATCATTACTCTTCAAATTGAAAAAAGTAACAATGCTTTGGAGAAATAACCCATTAAACACTGCTAACATAATACATCAACTAATTGATGAATTAGTTCATAGAGATCCCATAAATTATATGATTCATCAATTAATTTGTATGTCATATCACCGTTGTTTAGAAAATTATTATTTCCCAGTTATTTAACATCAGTTGAGAAATTTCCTTTGTTAAGTAGATTGGAATTAAGCACTATAGCCATGTTTGGACTCTAATAATCCTAAAATGCATTTTTTACTCACTTATTTTCAATCACATATTTTTCAATAAAATAAAATTACGCTTAAACTTAAAAGTCTTCATTATTTTTTAAACACACATTCTTAAAAAAAAAGAAATACTACTCCAAAACTATTTTTTTTAATTCAAAGTGGGGACTCGGTATATCAGTTTTATCCAGAGAAGTTAATGGATTTTGCTGTGTTGATGTGACGGGGAATTGAAAATTAGATTGGACAAGTGGAGCAAGTGTAGTTGTACCAAACTGATTTCTGGGATTGGAGGGGACACAGAATATTAAAAAATGAATGGATAAAGTATTTTTTAGAAAAAGAGATGAGATAAGGTTAATTACTTTTGTCCCTCACTCATTCATTGGGCCATTGGGGCAGACGACAGTGCCTTCTCGGGATATCTTGGGGCTCTTCACGTTACTTCAATTTTTAGAAACCCCCAAAAAAAATCTCAGGCTTAAATTGCTACTCCTCTTTAGTATAGGTGTATAGGTTTAGGTGGTCCAATTTTGTAAATTTTTCAGAACGATACGAGAAATTCTCGAACATAAATTTAACGATTTTGATTGATTTTAAATTTTCTTTTTTCGTTTTTTTTAATTTCGTCTCGCTTTAACTTCAATGTCGTTAGTTTAATGATTACAAAATAAACTTTTACTTCATTGAAGATGAAATAAAATAAGATAAGCGTATTAAACTATAAATATAAATATCAATACAAACATAACAAATTGTTTGTTTTGCATAGTTTTTTAGTGTTCAACATTTGCCGCGGGAAGAGGATTTGTTGTCTTAAGGTATGAACTATAAATGATGATGAATTGATTGATATATCAATTTACGACATTTAATAAGTGACATGTGATTGAATTACCTGTTTGTAGGTTAAAATTTTCATTCTATCGATGAATCTACGTGGCGTTATGACAATTCTAAAAGGAAAATTTAGTTCAATTTTTCAATTCAACTATTTTTATTTACACCATTTTCGCTTAGGATTTGTATGTTGTATATGTTATCGCTCAAACGCCAAAAAGGAAGAAAAAAATCCGAATGTGATTGGATTAATAAAAGTCTGATCCCACTATAAAATCAATAAAGAAAATCACCATGAAGAGAATATAAATCCACTACGATTACCTACTCATCAATTCAAACACTTACCCAGCAAGCCATTGGTGTTAGATATTTGGACCATGTTTGGCACATTGAATTATGTTCAGTAAAGAATTTAGTATAAAATTGTAGTGGATATTATTAGATGGACAATGCAATCTGTACAGGGAATTATGACAAAATTCCATGTGACAGTATTTCATTGGGTGTTGGGCCGGGGGGGGGGGGAGCCATACAGGTGCTATTAGTGCGTCACCTGTAAAATTGTTTGTACATAAAAAAAAAAAGGATAATATTCTTTAAAACCACAATATAATATTCTCTGCTTCGGCATGATTTTCTCCTTGTTAAGGGATTTTGGTGTTTTGGAAGCCACTCTTCAATATATAGAGATTGATATTTTGACGTTCTTTCAATCGAAGATGTTTATTTATAGAAAATATTCTTTTAATTTTTGAGATATTCGATTTAAGATATTCTTTCAATTCAAGATTTTTTTTATGGGAGATGCTCTTTCAATTTCCAGACTTGTAGATAGAATTTTGGACTCTATCTTATTGTACAATGATTTTTGAGAGCATTATAGTCATTTTCAATGATTTTATTGGAAGTGGCGATTAAGCTCATTTCCGAAGTTTTTTTTTTTACGCTTGTGACATTTGTCCAGGAATATCATGTGTACACGCAAAGGCATAGTGCACTAACATTAAAGTTATTTTGTTAGAATCATCAATGAGATTACTGTCAATGTTCGAAACTATCCGAGGCCTCTACCTATGCCCTTGGCTGATGCCTCTTAACTATGTCTTCGGTAAAGATCTGTAATCATGTTTTAGCCGAGTAAAAATATCCATAATCCTTTGCTCGTGTAGGCTTCGGCGAGCAAGCCACAAGTTTTATCCCAAAACACCTGGGCACGTGATGGGACCTTTTTATGGCTGACATGGCATTTAGGTGAACTTTTATTATTTCTGTACGTAACAAAACCATCAAGCACATCATTAACGGTAATAGATGGTCTATTAATAGAGTTCTGCTATACGTACAGAACAATTTTTTACAGATTCTTTATTGAATACACATAGCATGGGGTTGGTGAGTTATTTTTTGGATTATTTTACTCACATGGAATCCACTAACCATGTGAGTGTCTGGAAAACTTCTGTAGGAGGAAATTCTGTATACATAGAATTTTCCCTATTAATATCCCCAAAGTACTGTAGATATTCTTGATGCCTTTTTTCTTTGCATATATACTTTTTTCTCTTCAAATACTTGCTCTCAGGCTGGAAGTCAAATGAGGAAGATAACCCCAAATAGTAGTGACTGATGACATCTTGTTCCTCTATGTAAGACGAAGAGTCTGGACAGAACAACATCATTTGTGATACTGAGTACAGTTCCAAAATGATGCAATTAACACATGGGGATCTAACGCAGTGGATAATCAATCCAATCAAGGCAACATGAATGATCGAATTAGAGTAGTGTGTGCCCCAATGTCCTTAAACCTTGATCGACCAACCACCATTCACTCCACTAATTTTGATTGCGACTCTGATTATTCAGTACATCAACAACTAGGGACGAGGCCCACAAGGGACATTAAGCAAGGCGACGAATGTCTGGTGACACATTTACCTTACAATTTTTCTTTCACACCCTCAGAAACATCACGATCTATAAACAGTCACTCTTCTTTATCAAATGTATTGGAGAAGAACATGTTAGTACTTAAAATTCGAAAAATGAATTATTTAAATAATGATTTTTCTAAATAATAAATTGTTCCATCTCATAAATCTGTTTCTCTAGTTAAGATTTGAATTCATGAATATATTCGCAGCAGAAGCAAGAATAATATGTATATACCTACATACATACACGTTTCAAGAGAATATTATCAGTCACAAGAGTCGAGAGGCAACTACAAGTGCTACCCTAAGATCATTTGAAGTTTCGCATACATATATTCTGTATTTTTATATTTCATCGATAAAACTTAGAAGCAGAGTCGGAATAATAACTTTTGCTCACTCGATCGCGTTTGGAAATGTTATCTCCCTTAAAATTGGTTCATGCCTGTAAAGGAGATTACCCATGCTCAATACTTTCCTCCATGACTGGTTAGCAGTTGGCAGAGTAAACATGCCAGCAACCACGTCTCTTTCACCTGCCCTTATTTCTTGCTTTTTCCTCAACTCCTAGGAAAGGAAGACGAAAATACAAGAAAAATGGCAATGGGAAGTATAAATGTGACTAATTAAAAGTATCTCGAGCACCAAAAATGGAGGCCATAAAGAACATCAAGATAGATAGTCAACTTGTCTTGAGCAAAGATTTGAACTACAAAAGAACAGAAATTGAAAAACAAGGATAATTCAGGTTTGTTAGTGAGCAACAACTAGGTAGTAAGTTTATGTTTGTGAAACTGAAAATGACCGAGGAAAGGCACATTTGAGATATGATATGAAACCTCAAGCTAGGAACAGTAGGGGAGTTCATTTAGATGCACTTATACTTACTGTAGAAAAAATTTGAGCGGTGACAGCTTAACTAACTTCTTGGAGTCACCTTGCACAGAGCCACTTCCCATATTTCGTTGGTAGTAGTCATATTAATCCCTGAAAATTGCTTCTGCAAAAACTTGCGATGAATAGAAGCTGCTAATGTAACCAACTTCTCAACATGTCCAAAAATAACACAAAGCCGTCTTACATCTTCAATCATATGATAATATCACTATCACCAGATCTATTATATGCTGCAAATATAAACAAATATTAGTAAATCCTAGAGAGCACAGTTCCTAGAGAATCAAAGACACCAGAGAAGCTAATATTTTGAGGTACAGTTGTCCAATTTTAGTTGTCATCTGCTTTAAATCACCAATTGATGTTTGATTAAGCGTGTCTCTGAAGGCAGTACAAACCATTTGTTCCAACAGTTGCTGCCGTCGCAGGGTATCCAGATTTAATGAAGAACCTAACTTGAGATGATGTGATGGTTAAAATTTTGAGTGATTGAACGGAAAAATCCCAGAAAGATAAGCACTTGGTGTATAGATGAAACTTGTCAAAACCTCATAATCGTGGGTGAGTTAATTTTTTGGCATTTTTAATTTTGGTGGGACCCAAGCTTTGTGAGTTATCTGGCTGGGTTTTGTGAACCCGACTTCTGTACAAGAGGCAAAACTGTTTCAGAACACTCACATGGGTATTGTGTGGAATGGGTATTTTTTGCAATTTTTTACTCACATACCATGTGAGTTTCGGTAGGAGTTCTACTGTACACCAGGAATTATTCGAAAATAATACATACTGCCCTCCTACAAGTTGCAAGACAAAGAAAAATATGAAAATAAAGGTGTAAGAATAAGCAGCAAATTGCCCAATGAAATAGTACGAACAAGTGCAGTCTCATTCATTCAAGGATAATTATATTACCACTACAAAATTTAATTATTATGCCACATTATAATCACGCTAGAATTAAAATATATTTTCAATAAATACATCAAAACAAATTTACATTTTTACTCCTAATACAATAAAAACAAAAAAAAAATACAATATTATGATATACTCATCCTCCCAATATACTTTTATCTTTATCATATTTTTCTTAGAATATGTTTTTCTCTTTCTGCTTTCATCTCCAGCTGTGTTGATACATTACAAGTTTTTCATTATTCACCCCCAATAATTTAACTGCAACATATATGGCTTGGGTATACTGGCCATTTACCCTCAATAATTAGTTTCCATAATTTTTTCCCAAGACTTCTCTGAATTTTTAATTCATTGAATTCAAATGTAGCAAGCCAGTTTTCTCCGAATAAGTGTAAACAAACCCAAGAAATTCATCTTTACCAATTAATGTCGTGTTGGTGTTTTTCAACTTCTTTAATTTTTATTTTATTTTATTGCTTGTGGATGAATCTTTAGTAAATATACTTACCTTATCCCAAAAAAAAAAAAAAAAAAACGAATCTTTAGTAATTTAATACATTATGGTGGCGGTGGTGTCTCTGCGTCGGAAGCGTAGGCAGCATAAGAAAGAGGGGATCCTTTATTTATTCTAATTAATTCTCAATTCATGAAACCACCAGACTAAGAAAAAAATAAATAATAATAATAATATTATTAATAGTCATCATCATCATTACCATCATCATAGAATAATATTATATAATATAAATACATTTACTGTGAGGAAAAGAAAATTATCTTTGCTTTCGTAGAACAAAGCAAATATCGCTATCGATTAAAAAAAAAAAAACTATTCACAATTAAATGTTGAAAAAAAAAAGGAGAAAAAAATAAATATTTTTATTTGTGGTGGAACAATAATTTATTTTAGGCTAATTATGTAATTTTACTTGAGACTATTTAAGTAAATAAGAAAAATACTAAAAATTGTGGGGTAGTAATATAATTACCCTTCATTCAAAAATTGAAAATTTCTTTCTGAGAGATTTCCTATTTATTTCAATAAAAACATCAAAAAAGTCGATTAATACGGAGAACATGAAAATCGTTACCACACGTAATTTAACTTGCAAAAGACAGCCGTTGACTCTAAAAGACGTTGAGTATTTCCATTTGTCATTGCATTCACAAGTCCTTGAACTCATGAAGTCTCGTTTCCCTGCTTCTTCCTTTTTTCTTTTTGGCAGTTTCACAGAATAGTTTTGTCTAGTTTTGGCCTTTACTATATTGCATCTACACTTAAATTGCAATTTTTATTTTTTTTTTTCATTTCAACAGTTTCAGTGTTAAGGAAACAAATAAATTAGAATTACGTGAATTAGGCAAGAGGAAAATTGGATTTATTATATTTCCATATTTGTACTTTCGTTTTTCTCTATATAATGAAAGCTAAAGAGAGAGAGATAATTTACTTCACTAAAAAGTTTGTACCAAACCTCATCTCGCAACACACGGAATAGTTTTGTTTAGCTGTTCACCATTGTAACTGCCCATGTAGAATTATCCTCCAAATCTCTCAACCATTCTACCCCCAAACAGTACAGATGAGTTCGATGCGAGTTTACGAGGAAGACGAGGAATCCCAGTATCAAAAATTTACCTTTTCTCCTTCTCAATTCGAATCTAGAAATCGCTTCTGTTTAGAAGCTTCCAAAGCTAGGGTCTCATTCCAAACTTTTCTCCAAGAACTCCCATACTCGGACATTCTCTTGGACAGCCTTCCTCGACGAGGCCACTTATTCTTTACCCCTCTGCTGCACTAGTTTGAGAGATTTCAATCTCACTGCCATCTAATAAAATCTTCGAACACAGCATCTGGGTTAGCTGCCTTAGATGTGGACATTTCTGAAATCAAATGGTAGAGGAAATCTTTCCAAGATTAAATTACTTAATGAATAGAAAAAAATTAAAAATAGTGATTGTTGACCTCAAAAATTGTTGCCAACAGATACCGGATCCATCCGCACACGTTTGAGCGAAAGTCCAACACGCGAAGACACGTGGACGGTCTAAACGAAAAGATCAAGGGCGTGGGAGTAGCTCAACGGCACAGGACGGGAACATTCGAAATCCGGCGGGATTGTTCGCGGACCGATTGTACAATAATTACCAATCGGTGTTTGTAAATGTGTATCTAAATATGTATGAACTCGTTTGTGTTGTAAAATAATAAGAAAGAGAGAGTTGAGTAAAATATGATTTCTTGTATTGATTCTTGCATTAGCCTTTGTATGGGGTTCCTGGGGGAGTATTTATAGTGTCACAAGTTAGAACGTGACCTTTGGTTCGGGGTATACATGGCTTCATCCGGTTAATTTACATGTCAAATTGTAGGCATCAGCCGCACCTAGCCTGCTATACATTTATTGATTGACGGAGCCACCTCTACTAGTGACAAGACTTAACATTTACACTCATGACAAACGTCCTATCAATCATTCTAGTAAGATCTTTGTGCAGAGGATCTTTTAGGAGAAGTGTCTATGGAGGATGCTGCTTTGTGATTCGGAGACTGCTACCTCGGCTACAGAGCTTCGGCCAACAGGGCCTCGTCCACCTTCAAAGGGCCTCGACATATGGCTACAGAAGCTCCTCAAGAGGCAAAGATGGATAGGCCTCGGTATATATGGGCCTAGGCTTCTATGGACCTCGTTTTTAGGCCTTCGCTATGCAAATCACCTCAACTTGAGTGCCACGTGGTTCGGCATGAGTTGGCTATGGGCCCCGGTGGGTTGCCCAAATGTGTAAACACATAACAATAGTCCCCTAAGTCCAAATATAGTCATTTATGTAATGCGAGGACTTTGATGAAGTAAAGCCAGCCAGTTAAGTTGAAAGAAATTTTTGAAATTTTTTGTACCCTAAATAATAATCCCACAAGTCCAAGTATAGATATTTATGTCATGGTTGGAGTTAGAGATGTGCTGTTGTCGAGGAGTGATGAGAACGATGAAGTCGAGGTGGTTGAAAAATCGAACCTTTTAGGCTTGATGACTAAATGATGAAGAGAAAGCTGAGGTGGTTGGGAAATCGAACCTGCGAGGGTTGACGGCTGAATGATAAAGAAGAAGCTGAGGTGGTTGGAAGACCGAACTTGCGAGGCTTGATAGCTGAAGTCTGAGGCACATTGACAATAATTGTTCATCAGCAGTTGTGCCAATAATTTGATGTTTTACGCATATTTTCGAGGAAAGATGGTTGACCCGTTGCAACTTCCAAGGCGTCTGCTGCCGTCGAATTAAAGACATAATCATGAGAACAGCTGGAGCCTCTAGAGGCAGACGCGTTAGGGGAGGTGTGTGGGAGACACGCTTAAATCTGAGGCGTAGGTTTGAAAAACCATTTGACTTCTACGCCTCGGATTTGATTTAGAATGAAGGGTCCAAATTGGATGGGCTTTGATCAGACGGTTGAGATTCGTCCTGGCCCTTTATAAAAGGCGAGGGACCCCCATTTTTTTGATTTTCTACCTTTGCAATCTGACTTGTCTTCCAAAGCTTAAGTTTTTGGGCGTTGAAGCTCTTTGTTCCCTTATTTTCCGGCACCATTCCATCGGTGTAGTTATTCCCGTAGGTATTTTCATAGAAAATCCCTTGTATTGCGTTCTTAGTCGTTTTTTGAAATGGAGTCCACCTTAGGTAGGGAATTGGTCACTGTGGCGTCATTCAGTCAGGTGGCTAGTTATAGGGGGAACTCCGAGGTTGAGCAGTATGCTATGACCAAGGAGGCAGTAGACTATAGTGTAGAGTGGGGGTGTCTAAAGTCCCTTCGAATATGACAGGGAAGAGGCTAGGGGAGATTAGGGAGAGGTAATGTGTACCTCATTATGTAGAGATGTTAGTACCCGATGCCCATGAGCGAGCCTGCTATCTGATGCCTGGATGAGTGGTGGTGAGCGAGTACCTGTTTAAGGTATGCGTCTTTCTCTGCACCCCTTCTTCAGAGCGGTGCTGAGGAACTTTATGTTGTCGCCGACCCAAGTTCTGCTAAATGGGTGGAGCCAGTTGGTTGGCTCGTACGTCCTATGGATGGAAGTGTCACTTGGGGAGGACATGACTCTCTACGTCTTCATAACCCTATTCCAGCCTAGGGTAATAGGTAAGGAGTCAAGGGGTGGTATTACTTAACTCCTTAGGGGCTCATGCACCATTTGTGGTGAGGCTGCCTTCTTCCATTAAAGGGTAGAAGGAGTTATGGTTCTGGGTGAGAGGCAGGTGGCAGGCGGTGGAGGGAGACACAACCCTGGCTTGACAGTACCGACCCAGTACTACAAAGCTCGTGAGTCTCCCAGTCTAAGTAGTTTGCATTCTGTATTCAAATTTCTTTTTCTAACTATTGAGGCTTCCTTTGTAGATAGCAGTATGAGGTTTGCGTTGTAAGGAGGAGTTTGAGGTGATAGAGGACATTTACAAGAGACCTCTGAAGTTTCACCACTTCAACCACCTCATCGACCGAAGTCGCTACTTCTTTGATTTTGAACTAATGGCCTCCAAGGGTAAGAAGCTCCTATACTTGTGTATTTCATGCTTTCTGTTTTGATACTGATGCATTGACATGTTTTGTAGACAAGTTCAAGAGGAGGGAATACCTAGCCCCTGACATGGCCTCTATACTTAGGGCCACATCCACTATAAAGGCGAGGCCCTTGAAGTCGAGGTCGACTGGCGCCAAAGAGGTGCGGGACAAGGTTGAGCGCCTCTCCAAGGATAGCAGTTCAAGGGATCCTGAGGAGGGGACTCTACAGAGGTCAGAGAAAGCCAAAGAGCCTCGGGAAAAGAAAAAGGTCCCCGAGGAGTAGAAGAAGAGGAAGCTGGTGCACGTCAC